ACCCCCGGGACACCGAACTGCCGGAGGGGACCTCCGCAGGTGAGCCCCCCCAAAAGCGGCGCCCGGCCACGGTGAGGGGCTCGACCGGGGTGTCCCCACGCAGGGTGTCCCCGTGGCATCGCGGGGAGCGGGGTGGTGAGTCGTTTTTGGGGGTCCCCCCGGACCTGCCCTGACCCAGCGATGTGGGGATCCCCCGACCCGGCGGCATGGGGATCCCCCGGTCCTGGGGAGTGAGGGGACCCTGATCCCAGAGGGTGTGGGTGTCCCATTCCCATGGTATGGGGGGGTACCCCGATCCCAGGGTATGGGGGTGCCCCAGGGATGTGGGGATGTCCTATTCCCGTGGCATGGGGGTACCACGATCCCACAGCACGGGGATACCCCAGTCCTGGGGTGCAGGGATGTCCCATTCCCATGGCACGGGGGTACCATGATCCCAGGGTATGGGGGTGCCCCGATCCCTTGGCATGGGGATACCCCAGTCCTGGGGTGCAGGGATGTCCCATTCCCATGGCATGGGGGTACCCCGATCCTGGGGTATGGGGGTGTCCTAGGGGATCCAGGGATGTCCCATTCCCATGGCATGGGGGTACCCCGATCCTGGGGTATGGGGGTGTCCTAGGGGATCCAGGGATGTCCCATTCCCATGGCACGGGGTACCCCAATCCCAGGGTATGGGGGTGCCCCGATCCCTTGGCATGGGGATACCCCAGTCCTGGGGTGCAGGGATGTCCCATCCCCATGGCACGGGGGTACCATGATCCCAGGGCATGGGGGTGCCCCGATCCCACAGCACAGGGATACCCCAGTCCTGGGGTGCAGGGATGTCCCATTCCCATGGCACGGGGTACCCCAATCCCAGGGCATGGGGGTACCGCGATCCCACAGCACGGAGGTACCCCAGTCCCGGGATGCAGGGATGTGCCATTCCCATGGCATGGGGGTACCATGATCCCGGGGTATGGGGGTGCCCCGATCCCGCAGGGAGCGGGTGCTCCGGTCCTGGGGTGCAGGTGCCCTGCTCCCGTGGCGCGGGGATACTCCACTCCCAGGGCGTGGGGATGCTCCAGTCCCTCGGAGCGGGGATACCCCATTCCCCTGGCATAGGGGTACCCCGATCCCCGGGTACGGGGATGCCCCAACCCCACAGCATGGGGATGCCCGATCCCGGGGTGCAGGGATGTCCCGATTGCACGGTGTGGGGATGCCCCGATTTGGGGGTTCGGGGATGTCCCGTTTCTGTGGCACAGGTATGTTCCGATCCCGGGGTGCAGGGGTACCCCATTCCTGTGGCATTGAGATACCCCAATCCCGGGGTGCAGGGATGTCCTGCTCACACGACATGGGAATGCCCTGATTTGGGGGTGCAGTGATGCCCCAGTCGTGGGGTGCCGGGGTGCCCCGTTGCTGTGGCATGGGGAAGCCCCGATCCCGGGGTGCAGGGATGCCCCAGTCATGGGGTGCAGGGTGCCCCATTGCTGTGGCATGGGGACACTCCAATCCCGGGGTGCAGGGGTGCCCCAGTCGTGGGGTGCAGGGGTGCCCCGTTGCTGTGGCATGGGGACACTCCGATCCCGGGGTGCAGGGGTGCCCTGCTCCCACACCACGGGGTTTCCCGGTACCCAAACTCCAGCCACGGTTTGCAGAGGGAATTTGGGCTCCGGGGTCCCCCTTGGTGGTGCCATCCACACTCCCGTCCCTTCCCCGGGGACACGTCGTCCCCATCCCCTGCTCCGGGCCTGCCCCGCGTGTGAACCTCGTCCCGCACCCCGAGCCCGGACACTTGTCCTCGGGGTGGGACGGGGCAGGTTGGTGGGGACACGCGGCGGGGGCTGAGCCAGGAGTTAAATCCAGGCTTGGGAGCAGGACAGGGGGGTCACTGCTGTCCCCAAACCGGAGAGGGGACGGGGAAGGTGGAAAAGGGATGGAGAGGGCCAGCGGGGATGGAGAGGGGGCAGTGGGGATGGGGAAGGGCCAGAGGGGAGG